GAGATACGGGGCTGATTCAGACCTCCGGGTTGCTGCGTTTGTGTTACTTAACAGTGCAGGAATTTTCAGTGTTTTTGTTGTTGCACAGAGGGCTGCAGTGCATCTGCATCTCTTCTTTCACATGGACTCGGCAACATCTTTGTCGGCCCTTCCTGACCGCTGCAGAAACCCACAAGCATTTGCAGGATCTCAGGAACTTTTCTTGCTTTTCCTCCACAAGTCACATTAATGCATGAACTTTAATGTCATGTCTTAAATATAATGATAATAACAGGCAACTATGTTGGTAATCATAGTATTTTATGGTTCTAGCTTCTCAAATGAGAAACTTTCTTTGCTCTTTGTCATTGTAAACTGTAACGGTACATTAGAAGATTTTAGTTTTTTGGCCTAACCAACTGAAAATGGCCGACCCGTCCATCTCGTCATTTTATACTCGATCAACAGAGATGCTGCTGTAGCGGCGGCTGGAAGCAGTTAGCCTTTATCTCACTGACTGCAGTAATGTTGTTGTTTCTGGGCCCATAGAGCATGTGCACTGGTCTCAAGCCACCTGACTTCCTGTTAGCTCCACGCACACATGAATGGGATGAAAAAGTATCCCACGGCTTGACTGGACCCAGTGGATCTAATTTTAATAACAAGTCATTTCACAGGGGTTGTGACGCCTGGGAAAATGTAGTCACTATTTTACAGCCGCCTCCTTTTCCAGTAATTGTCTAGGGGGAAAAATGCTTTTTGAGCCAGTTTGTGTCACATGATCAACAGAAATTGTAGTAACGTGGTTTGACCACTATGCTGGATTTACTTCATAGCCCAACGCCATTCCCCAGGGGCTTGGTCAAAACTGTTCGGCTAGCTAACAACTTATGCATGGATACGAGTGACGCGGTGTTGCTCTCTCTCACGGTTTCTCTGTTTTTTGTCTTTCAAACACCAGATGAAGAGGAAGTTGGATCATGGCCCAGATGGGCGACCATTCCCTTCAGGGAAGAAGCACTGCAAAGGCAGCGGGTACCTCAGGTAACACACATTTCCTGGACTTTCAGAAGCAAGTTTCACAAAAAAAGTCCAACCATCACTCTGAGTTTAAATAAAGTGAAAACGTTCAGGTGAAGTGATGCTTCTAGTTCACGTTTAAAGAAGGTAACTATTAACACGATAATTGAAATAGTCTTGGCATCAACCTCACCCACCTCCTCCACACTACCCTGGAAATGCTAACTGGTGCACACGCTAACCTGTCTGTGTCTCTCTCACCCCAGTCCGTCCAGTTTGGTCCAGGCCACGCCCACCACATTTGGCGACCTGCGGCTGGCCAATGGGCATTCGGCTCAGCGGCGGCGGGTCACCTTGGGCCCACCACCTTCTGGCCTGCAGGAATGGCTTCACACCTTCCAGGTCTAAACACATATATACATTTTGTACTAAATTAACAGTTGATGCATTTTTCCTCGTTGCACTCTGAAGTGGTGGAGACGAGTGTTTAGCTTTTCCAAAAGCACAGAAAAGTAAAAGTAAAGGATGGACTCATTACAACTTCTGTTAAATATTAATTAGCTGATCATTCCCCCCCATTATAGAACATCTCACTAGAGATACTTGCTGAATTTAGTGAGTTATTTGCCAGGACATGTGCATCCACATGTCTGTATGTGCCACACTCTGCTAAAGTGTGTGTGTGTGTGAGTCTCGTACATAACACAGAACACTTCTGCCTCCCAGCTGTTCTTATGTAACCAATAAACAGACACACATTCACATACATTCAAAAGAAAAACATGGATCTCTTTTTTGTAGCTTGAGTAAGAAGTTGAAACCATTTCAGACGTAGAGACAAAGACACGTAGAAATGGGAGGATGCACTGAACGCACCACACAATTTAAAAGTTGCATGTAAAAACTGATGCACACAAATAAGACCACTTATAATTAAACAGAAAAAGAAACACAAACTGTACAAACTACTAAATGTACTCAGATACACACTGAGATAGACTGAATAAATAACTTTGCCAGCTCGTCCTGTGCCACCGCGTCCCTGTTCACCACGGTTTCTCCTTTACTGTTTCCTTCTCACACTCTTCCATCCCGTCATCCCCTCTTTCCCCCCTGCAGACGTGGAGCGGTCCTGAGAGGCTGTTGGCTCTGGACGAGCTGATCGACAGGTGTGAGACCAGTCAGGTGAAGCACATGATGCAGGTCATCGAGCCCCAGTTCCAGAGGGACTTCATATCCTTGTTGCCCAAAGAGGTATAACCTCATAAAACACGTGCCTCAAATCCACGTAGATGTCGCAAAGTGTGGCCGTAGCTTTGCATCTAGAGTAACGGCATAAACCAGTAGAGCAGTATTTTAACAGGGCCTCACGGGTCATTAAAAGTCTTAAATCCAGTCTGAATTTTATGTCTCAAATTCTTAAAATGTGGACTGTAGATTAAAAATATCAGAGGCCAAAAATTCCCTGTGAACTAAGTTGATAATCAACATAAACACTTGACTGATTTTTCTTTATATCGTTCACTTTTTGTCACTGTGGGTGTGAAGTAGGTCTTAAATTGCAGAACTGGTCTTAAAAACATCCTAAAATCTTCAGTTTGACTTGGCACAACCTGCAGAAGCCGTTTAAACCTGTGTTGGTTCGTGTGTTTCCAGTTGGCTCTGTACGTGCTGACCTTCCTGGCTCCCAGGGACCTGCTGCAGGCTGCTCAGACCTGCAGATACTGGAGAATCCTGGCTGAAGACAACCTGCTGTGGAGGGAGAAGTGCCGCGAGGAAGGTAAACGCCAACACCCTCTAAACACACAGCCCACAAGGTACTTCAGCTTTTGTTGATGAGGTTTCTTGCTTTCATTTCTTTCTTTGTTTTATATTTTCCTTTGGGCGATTGTTCACCTGTTTTAAACCTAAATTTAATGTCTGAAGTTTTTTTTTCTCAGTTGTATAATGAGAAGGTAGAGATGTTTTTATGTCAGAGAAATACCATCATGCATTTACCACCAAATACCATCATTTAAGTACAGACGCCAGAATTGTGGTCATGATTTTATACCATTAAGTGAGCAGCGCTGCTTCCTCCCTTTTCCTCCTCCTCCTCAGTGCACTGAGGACGCCACGGCCATGTCTTCAGAGTGGGTTTAGTGATTTGAGGACAAGTTTCATTCATTTCATTCCTTAGATAGACAGAAATTACACATGATGCGTTTGAAGGCCAAATATCTTTTGGGGTCAAACACATAACATTAGGTTGTACTATGATAAAGACATTTAGAGATTTCTCTACTGGATTTAAGTCCTGGCAGTGCTGAAACATTTAGTGCATTATTTTATAGGAAAAACGCATCTTAAATGTTATTTAAACATTAGTTTGTGCCTCTTATGGATCACACTGTATAGATTAAGTGATGACTAGAAATATTTGGACTGACATTTTTAGCAAACATCACTCAAACAGGAGGAATCAGTGTTTCTTGGGGACTATTTTCAGTGGCGGATGAATCCACATTAAGCCTCTAGTGAGTATTTGTGGCAGCAGAACGGTGTGTGGGACTGGGTCAGAATTATCTACAGTGTGGGTTCATGGGTTTTATTAGACTCTAGACACATGTATCATTGTTGGTTTTGGGTTTTTGTGGGATTGTTATATTGTCAAATACCTGCTGTGTAACTCCAGACTTATCCTTTAACTGTAAAATAACGTGACCTGCACAGGGCTGCCTCCTTCCTTTTCCTCCTCTTCACTCTCCGTTTGGGGTGTTTTTCTTTGGCACATGGCCCACTGTCCTGACAGTGACAGTTTATCATGTTGTACCTGAGCAGGTATTCTGTAGGTGTGTTTTCACAGGAGAAATGGAATACAAATAGAGACGTGACCTCAGTGGGTGTCTAGTGTTTTCTAACATGAGTGCAACGTGCAGATACGGCTTCATAATGCCAGACACTGCTCCTCCATTCAGCGCAGTGACTCTGTGTGTGTCTTGCTCTCTGGGCTTTCTGCCAGTCAGCTGAGATTCACTGCCAGCGTTCAGTGGCCATACCAATGAGGCTACCTTGCATTAGCACCGTGCCACAGCCGTCCTACTGAAGCCGGCATCAACCACAGCTCATGGCTTTATAAATAAGGCTAATTTGTATTTGCCCTACACCCCTGTAGTACCAGTGGGATCTGTCTTGGCATTAATGAGAACTCAGTGAGAATATAAAAGCAGCTAAGCTGCACTAGCAGGATGCCAGTTTCATGTTAAGGAAGCTAGTAGTTAAGTTGTATGAGTAAAACCACAGCAGATGCTACACCTACATTATGGTCACTAAACTAAACTTATATTAGCTAACATTACAGCTACTACCGCTACTGTATGTAGTCGGTGTTGTTTATACCACATTATTTAAGAGTCATTAGCTTAATGTTATTGTAAACTGTGGTTGGTTAGCTGCTGTTAGCTTACCTGATGACGATTTGTAGCAGGTACAGTAATGTCAACTTGCATGGACACATTAGCTGCTGTTAGCTTACCTGATGACGATTTGTAGCAGGTAATGTCAGCTTGCATGGAGACATTAGCTGCTGTTAGCTTACCTGATGACGATTTGTAGCAGGTACAGTAATGTCAACTTGCATGGACACATTAGCTGCTGTTAGCTTACCTGATAATGATTTGTAGCGGGTAATGTCCGCTTGCATGGACACATTAGCTGCTGTTAGCTTACCTGATGACGATTTGTAGCGGGTAATGTCAGCTTGCATGGACACATTAGCTGCTGTTAGCTTACCTGATGACGATTTGTAGCGGGTAATGTCAGCTTGCATGGACACATTAGCTGCTGTTAGCTTACCTGATGACGATTTGTAGCGGGTAATGTCAGCTTGCATGGACACATTAGCTGCTGTTAGCTTACCTGATGACGATTTGTAGCGGGTAATGTCAGCTTGCATGGACACATTAGCTGCTGTTAGCTTACCTGATGACGATTTGTAGCGGGTAATGTCAGCTCCTTGGCCACATTAGCTGCTGTTAGCTTACCTGATGACGATTTGTAGCGGGTAATGTCAGCTTGCATGGACACATTAGCTGCTGTTAGCTTACCCGATGGCGATGAAAGTACAGCAGCTAAAGCTAGCTTACATGGCAGTTAAACTAATGTTATAAACATTGACAAAAACTCTACAGGACATTAATATACATGTGCTTACAACTACATTGGTCAGTTATAATCTGAGTATTAAATACTGGAATTTAAGGTAATGTTTTATCCAATGATCAAAATTGTTGCAGGTTAGTTTTCTGTCATTCAGCAAGTTGTTAAATTAATTAGTTATTGCAGCTCTAATTAGCATATTCTGTCTCTGGCTCTCGTCCTGTCCCCAGGTATATCTGAGTGCATATCACCTCGTCGCAGGAAGTGTGTGAGGCCAGGTGTGGCGGTCAGTCCGTGGAAATCGGCCTACATCAGACAGCACTGCATCGAACACAACTGGAGGAAGGGAGACACACGGGAGCCCATGGTACACAGTAACACGCTCACACATAGTCACGTACATGCTCACATGGCCGGCCAGTATTTGATATGTAAACATGGACTGAGTGTTAATAATCCTGCTGTCTCTGTCCTTAGGTATTGAAAGGTCACGACGATCATGTGATCACGTGTCTCCAGTTCAGTGGCGACCTGATTGTCAGCGGCTCGGATGACAACACACTCAAAGTGTGGTCAGCTGTCACCGGCAAGGTGGGCTGCTGTGTGTGTGTGTGTGTGTGTGTGTGTGTGTCTTTGTGTCAGCACAGACGTATTGATTAAGCATATTATGATGTTCTGCTGCTTCAGCTGCCACCACATTAGTGTGTGTGTTACCAGAGTACAATAGCAAAAAGGGAGTTTTGTTTGTTTTATTCATGTGCAGGGGCATTACAGAGCACGTGTCACTCGCGCTTTATGCACATAGCTGCGACCTGAAACATATTTTTATGCTTCGTCTTTTTTTTTTTTTTGAGCTAGGTGTGTAAATGGCTCCACTGACTCTACCAAAACAATGACAGCTCACTAGTTCCAACCAGAACTCCACCAAAATAGAGAAATACATCAGGTAAAAACAGTTAAACCACATGATCTGAGCTCTTACGTCTGTCCTACTGAACATGCTCTCCTTTTTAAAGTGTGTGTAGTTTTCATCTGCTGTGTTTTACCATGGGTTGGATACAGTGGGTGCAGTGTGGCCATTAATTCCCTCATTGTCTACTATTTATCGTAGTTTTGGACTGTAGTTTTCCTTTTTCCAGCGTGTCTGTAGCCGTCTCTGTGTGCGTCAGTTACACCAAGTGCTTCCAGGACACTAGTGAACCTGTGTGTGGTACACTTGAAAGTCACTCTGCCTTTAACCTTAACCGGATTATAATAAAACACAATGGAGGCATTTATGTAGGTCAGCATGACCCGATTGGATACGATGAAGCTTATGCATCTGAACAGACAAGAATGCAGTAGAATAGAATAGAATAAACTAGAGGAAGGTGGACCAGTTGTGTTAGTCAGGGTGTGTCATTGGGATGCTGTTCAAACAGCAGCTCTGTTTCAATCGACAACCTATGTGTTAAAAGTAAAGAGACAGTTCACCTCAGGCTTCCTGTTAGCATGCACTTTATGTGCGTTTGTAGTCGCACCCCCCGTCCTGTCTTTACTCATCCTGTTCAAATATTAGTTTAACATTAAACAAACACTAGTACAGTGTTGTTAGACTACAGCATGAACAGGATCAATACTGAATCTGGTTTAAAAAAGAGGTATCTTCTACACACAGTGTAATACTCACATAAGTTTATGTTACGGCCACAAGTTGGAATTATTTCATCAAGGGACGTTAATCAAATTGTGTGTGTCAGAACAAGTATTGACTCTGATTTTACATAAAACTATTTTATTAGGGAAAAATGTATTTCATAAATAGTTCAGATTAACCGATTATTGATTCTTAACATGGCTGACTATTGATTAAAGAAATAGCTTGAAATTTGCCTATGTAATTTCAACTTTGTGAGAAATGATGTTTTGGCAGACAGGACTAAATAACCATAATGCTCCAGCTTGGTTGGCCAGAGGTGCAAATTTTAATAACAGGTGGCGCAGTGGTTAGCGCCATCGCCTCACAGCAGCAAGGTTCCGGGTTCTTGCTGGTTCCCAGTCCCTTTCTGTGTGGAGTCTGCATGTTCTCCCTGTGCCTACGTGGGTTCTCTGGCTTTCTCCCTCAGTCCAAAGACCTGCAGCTTAGGTTGACTGCTGACTCTAAGTTGCCCCTAAGAGTGAGTGTGGGTGTTTGTCTACATGTCAGTCCTGTGATAGACTGGCGACCTGTCCAGGGTGGACCCCGCCTCTCACCCTGTGTCAGCTGGGATTGGCTCTTGGAAATTCCTTTGTGTACTTGTGTAGTTTTTTTTTAAACACAGCTGTTAGTCATTTGGGCTGGTCATATAAACTGGGGGAGTTTCATGCCTATCCAAGCTGTAGAGGTGCCCCAGATGTGAGTCATAGTCTATGAGGAAACGAATGGGACTTTTCGTCTCGGACCAGATACACCTGAAACGGCTCCTCCCACGTCAGCAAAATAAACTGTTTGGAGAAATTAACCTCTGCCTTAAGACAAAGATATGATCTGTATTTAAAGCACTGGAAACAGGGACTGACATGTACTTTATTCCTGTACGACTATAATGTTGCCTCTGTCAGCTTCTTCTTTTTGCCCCAAAAGCCACACACAGTCAATGATTCAGTGCCTGGTATCGGTAGAGCATTCTTGAAGCGAACACACCTGCTCTGGCCTCCGTCTAGACCTGCCCATTAGTGTGTGTAGTAGTATCATAGGGAGCGTCTTCATGCTCCCTGCAGAAAGAAAAGCACACACGCCCACAGCTGTAGCCTGCAGGAATGTTCAGTACGTGTCCTTGGTTGTGTGGACAAATATTTGTTTGATACCTTCATTGTGAGGACATTTTGGCTGGTCCTCGTACCCGAAAGAGCCGTTTGAGGGTTAAAAGATGCAGCCGGTGATTTTTTTTTCTGTTATTTTCCACAAATCCCACATCGTATTGTGTGTGAATCCGGTTTAGCATTGGTCTGAGCCGCAGACCTCCTTTGTCCACAAACTACTAAAACGTGTTTCTTCTTCAGGAAAAATGTGAGGCTGTTTTCAAAAGGCAGCTTGGTCAGTGTAATGTCACTGAGTGTCCTCACGCCTATAGAAAGATAACCCTGTGAAAAGGTGTGTGTTTTCTCTTGAGCCCATGTCAAATTCAAAGCCGTTCAAATGGTCTTTATTAGCAGGATGTGATGACAGCCTCACTGCTCACCCACTGTGTACGAGCTGCAGATAATCATACAGTAACAGTGGTAGCTGCAGTATCTGTCTCTGCAGCCTTGGCAACAAGTTGCCAAGGCAAAGTTGTGCTCTGTTGTCGTGGCAACCACCATTGCAACACCTTCAAGGTGAAACCACATTCTGTCTCTTTTTCTGTGTGCGTCCTTCAGGGGCAGCTGTGAACGTGGAGCAAATATTGACACACACACAAACTCGGAATGTGAGTTGTATGGAAAGCGATCGTTTCCCAGAAGAAGACTGTGAATTTCTAAGTGGAAAAAAATGGAAAATCAGCAACAGAATCAAAATGAAAACTCAAAAGTGCAGATCAAATCCATTTTACCTGAAGGTGATTTCTGTCATTGTAGGCAGGTGTGTACACACTGATTTGTGTACAAGTCCCCCCCATCCATCCATCCATCCATCCATCCATTTTCCTCCACTTATCCGGGACCGGGTCACGGGGGCAGCAGTCTAAGCAGAGATGCCCAGACCTCCCTCTCTCCAGACACTTCCTCCAGCTCCTCCGGGGGAATGCTGAGGCGTTCCCAGGCCAGCCGAGAGACATAGTCCCTCCAG